TGGAGATTTCTGTTCTTAGAAATAGAAAGGAAAAACTAATTTTAAGCATCTCTTCCAGTCTAAAAATTCCTTTAATTTATAGTTCACAGTAGTGTTTTCCTCACTGAATAGTACATAAGAGCATTTATTTGATAAGAGGTAAGGACAGCTGTTTCATAATGTTTAGCAATGATTTTCCTGTATCAGTAGACTAGGGAAGAGAACACCTTGTAAAATTAGAGGTTCTTAGTTTGTATGTATTAGAACGTTAAGGCATCAAGGCTTTATAAATTGTAATCTAAGCAGAAGGTGTTAAGAACTGAGGGATCTTGCTGAAAGGAAAATCTGAGGGCTAAGTGAGGACTTGTGGAGTTGTGACATAGTGGCATTAGGTCTGCTTAAAATCTGAAATTGAGCTGCAGTACCCTCTCCTTATTTCAGAAGGCCCCAGTCTTGATAGGGGAGAGCATCTGTCATTCTGCCTGAGCGGCCAATCCAGCCCAAACCACGACAAGCGTGTGTACTACATTGTGGGACTTCCCAAATCTGATTGTATTCCACTGAAATTGAAGCATTGCACTGTTCATGGCATCCAAACAGATACCTAATCTAGTAGGTGAAGGCTAGCAAATGACATTTGTTATGTAGGCAGCTGGGATTTAAGACAATGTATAGATGAAGAGACAACTACGCTGAACAGAAGCAGAGGTGGTATGAGGAGAGTTGGATATGCAGCCTAGCTAGAGAATGTTTGTTCTGAAACATGAGCACGAGCCTTGAAGTAAGTAAAATCAGCTGAAAATTACAGAATATATGCAAAATCCTAATTTTCTGTTTGTCAGTCTTCTTGTACTAATACGGACTCAGTTGTTGGTTTTGCTACAAGTGACATCAAGCATACACATTTGGTAAAATATTCTGTTCATGTATGAAAACATTTCAGTGTTCTTGAAAATTGTTTAAACTGGAATATCTGTCTGCAGTGGGTAAACAGATTAGCTGTATGTTTCTACCTTAGAATTTATGGTGAAAGCAGTTCACAAGGCATTTTGATCTCTGCCTCAAATTCTATTTTAATCTGTTTGCCAACTCAAAAGGTAGTAGTGCACCTCAGTGAATGTTTGAAAGTTAAACTTCAGATGAGCATCCACTTAAAAGGAAATAAGCTAAAGATGAGCTAGCGGTTTCTGTTGACAGGCACTTGTTTAATTTTCCACTTTCAGTTTTACTGCTTGAAAGCAATGGTTTAAATAAAAATAAATACTTTTCCATTTCAGATGAAAGCAGTGGCTGGTATGAAGATGTCTTACCAGGTACAACAGGCAATCAATACCTGCCCAAAGGATCCTGTAAGAGGTTTTAGACACGATGAATCATCCAATGCATTGTGTTCACACCTATACTCCATGATCCGAGGGAATCGTCAACACAGACGAGCATTTCTAATTTCTTTACTCAACCTCTTTGATGATACTGCAGTAAGCATCACGTTTCCTTCACTTAAAAAGAAAATAAAACCTAGCATTACAAGGTTAAATTCTCCTTTTACAATGTATTTTTATGACATAATTATTGATAACTTTATTTCCCTAAGGTACTTTGGTTTTGCTTTGTAATATAAGGTATTTACCTATATAATAGAATGCATTTGTTACTTTTGCATCATTCTGTACCTTTCTGTACTCAGTTTGGATTCATCAGAAATAATGTATCTTCAGGTATGACAAAATTTTGCATATATACATGTTGTTTAGAGTGGGTTTAGGGGGTATGTAGAATAAAATTTGGGATCATGTTTTTGCTCTAGACTTAGAAACACAGGATAAGTGTATAAATCTTAAGATATATGTATATATATTTATATGTACTTTTTTTTTTTTTAACTTCCAGAAAACAGAAGTGAATATGCTCTTGTACATAGCAGACAATCTAGCCTGTTTTCCTTATCAAACACAGGAAGAGCCACTGTTTATAATGCATCATATAGACATCACACTATCAGTTTCTGGTAGCAACCTACTACAGTCCTTTAAAGAGGTATGTGCATTTATATTTTAGTATATTTATTATGGTGGCAACATAAGCTTCTCTATAATATGGTAAATTTTTCAGTGAATACAGTACCATTATTATGATATGGACCAGTAGCATTATTTTGTAACCAGTAGTTATAAACTACCTTTTCTGTTCTGGCCTGCATCTGGTAGACACAAGTTAAAAATTTTCCTTACATTGCTGCTTATGTTATTAAAAAAGAATCACAAATTTGGTTGATGAGCAAGCAATGCACGCTTGCAGCCCAGAAAGCCAACCGTATCCTGGGCTGCATCAAAGGAAGTGTGGCCAGCAGGTCAAGGGAGGTGATTCTGCCCCTCTACTCCACTCTGGTGAGTCCCCACCTGGAGTACTGCGCCCAGCTTCAG